GACACCCTGGACAGGTCACCAGTCTATCACAGGGCTACACTTAGAGACAGACAACCAAGCACACTCCTTGCAGCCCCCTGAGAATGAATGTAAAAAGTAGAACAAGCTGGAAATACTAAACTAAAATACCAAATTTGTACTTAAGTACAGCACTTCAGTGAATCAGTTACATCAAGTCTAATGATCCCATTTTTATTCTCATATGTCTCCTCAGTCGTCCTCAATGTAAAAAGAGACATTTTTCCACTGTGTTTGACTTGATATTTTTTCCAGCTTTTCACTAAAACTCTATACACTTAAAACGAGTGATACAATCTGTACTGTAGTAGGAATCCTTTCATACAGGTTTCATACATTCAGCCTGACTTGCAGCACTTGAATTTACACTTAGGCAGCTTTTCACAAGCCTGAAGAGCCTCAGTGAGGGTGAGAATGAGAACGTGTTATTGTAGTAGAATGGAGGCCGTTGACATCCGTCTCCTGTCTGATCTGACGCAGAACATGTTCGGGGAGAAACCTCCGATCCCAGAGTACAAAGTAGCAGCCATCCAGAAGTCTCGCTTCATCCTGCTGCACTACGGCACCTTCAAGGCCGGCTGGGATTGGCTGATCCTGCTGGCGACCTTCTACGTGGCCGTCACCGTGCCCTACAACGTGTGCTTCACGGTGGGCGGCGGGCGGGACGAAGGCAGCAGCAGCGCCCCGCGGAGCCCGCCCAGCGTCAGTGACATCCTTGTGGAGATCCTCTTCATTTTAGGTGAGACGGCAGCTTTTCAACCAGCATTTACTGCTGCAGCATGCTTAAAGTCCAAACCTGGACTCATGTATTTTCATGGCAAACACTCGCACATTTACAGTTAAGCTCCAAATGATTCATAGCCATGCCGAGGTTTGAATTATAGTGAGCTTTTATTTCTTTCTTCTGGCAGGAAATGACAGAAACAAGTACCAAAAGACAGTAAAACACATTGTTAATTATGCTAATCATTAATTTTTACTACTTTTACTTTCCAAAGTTATTCATGCTGCTTGAAATTGAAATGTTTAAGAAAATGCAGCTTAGCTTAGCATAGTCACCCCAGCTAGCAGGGAACGTTCCCACAATATTCTAGAACATCACCTCCATTACCCCTAATAATGTTCAAAGGTTTTATTCTCATATCAGATCACATCAACAACATTTTAGAGATACTATTTACAACAATGTTCCCACGAGGTAAAAGGTGAACCTTTAGCTTTTAGTGAAGAGTTTTAGCTGCAGCATCAAGAGAATGTTTCGATAATGATGTCAAGAACACAGGTTGGGTTCCATGATAACAAAGGAGATAACAAACATTCAAAAGACGTTTTCCAGATGTTATCAAGACCTTGGGTTATTTAGTTCCTTTACTGCAATTTTTTATGGATATTGTTGAGGAAACAATTCTAGAACGTTCTTCTATAAAACATTTTGACAATGACAACAAAGGAAGGATGTTCTCAGTGCAACACTCAGAAAACATTTTCAAAATGTTCTTTCTATTCAAGGTGTTCAAGAACGTTCTTTATATTATGTTTCTGTGATGTGATATATAAACAAACGTGGAACACTCTTCCTACAATGTTCTGAGGATGTTTTGGGGATGCTGTTGAGGGAACGCATTGAAGAATCTAAATTATGTTCAACAATGTTACGTGATAACAAAGGTGGAACGTTCTAAGTGCATCATTCGGTTTGGAGATTGGTCTAATAATGTTTTAGAACATCTTTAGTTATCCTGCCTTGCATAGGAATATTCTGGGAAATAAACAAAATTCCAGCTAAAAATACTCATAGAACTTTGTCAAACTTTGAAGAACTCTCTCAAAATGATTTCAGAACAAAAAAAATTACAGCAGGGACATACAGTTTTAAAATAGGATTAATATTATGTTTTGTATCTTTCAAGTTGTTTACATTACATTCTGTTTAATTTTACACATTTTAAGGGGAATAATTTGCACATTCCTGCCAAATTTTGATGGAGGTGTCATTAATTTTGGGCTGACAACAGCGTGCAAAGCTCTCTGTTTACTGCTTAACTCCATATGCGTGCATATTTTAGAGTCTTGATGTCTGCGGTTTCTTCTCCACTACAGAATACTGTAAGAATAACTTTTGATTGCTGCATTAAGTGCATGCTGATGAGCGGAGCTGCATCTCTCTGAGAGCCTCGTGACTCATAATAAAAAGTTTGGTGGAAGTTTTTAATGACGCGTGTTGCAGTGAAAGGATATGAGCCGTTCATAACAGACCATTACTTCTCATTGTGAACTCATTTCCGTGGAAACAGCAGGCCTCTTTGTCCCAGGCCCCTGTCCACCTAACTGCAGGAAACTTGTGTGAATGCTCTTCAAAGGACAATTTGTGTTAATGGAAAAAGAGTGAATACCAGCCCTCTATCAATAAACTTGTGCAATGAAATTATACAAGCCACCCGCAGTTAAATGTCTGACTCCTGTCAGTCGATATCCCATTTGTTAGGACTAATAGGCCAAGCTTGTTTATCAATACATCCACTCAGCCAACGATAGTGGATTGAAATGTCCCATCACGCTTCTCTTTAGTCATTCGTTCCTGTAAATAAGCTGCTTCTCCTCCTACAGACCCCGAATATAAGCCCAACATGTAGGCCTTGCAGCAGAATAACTAAAGAGGTGTGCTGGCTTTTTTATGGTATGTTTTAGCTCGGTTTAACAACGTATAAACACCGTATCTGTTGTGTATTCATCACCATGAAAATGAAGTAAGAAACATTTTGAAAGCATTCATAGTCAGAAAGTGTTGCATTTATAAAGTGTGTGGTCAGAAAACTTGCTCTCAAAGATAACAGGTGAGTAAATGTACAAAGAAAGAATTCACACTGATGAAATGTCACTGAATGCATCAATAAAAAGCGCGTTTCAAACTGATAAAGTCAAGTGTCTTCAGACAGACCAGGGAGGTTAGAAATCATTGAGAGGTGGACTACTGTGGCTCTACTTGTTGGTTTTGGCCTGAAAAATTAAACAAAATTGAACATTTTATTCACACACTTCTTTAATATGCTAAAGCTCGCAGATCTTTTGTTGTGGTTATGCCCCGGTTTGGGGGAACCTTTGGCATAGCATGAGCTTTGCTCCACACCAGTCTTTCCATTTCAGGGAAGGCCAGCAATCAGACAAGCCAAGTATCAAAATGAGCAGTTTCTTTTATTTTTACAGTAAAAAGGGGGATATAGGCCGAAATAACAAACAAATCACACTCTACATAAGCCCTGACTTCCCTGTTGAAAAAGAAAAAGCAAATAAAAGACAATATCTTAACTACCTACCTAATAAACAAAAAACAGAAGAAAAAGGGTTTAAAAGAAACAGGCCTCTCCCTCCTACTCTGCTCTCTATTGACAATATTTTCAAAGATTCACACGGAACTTGTAGCACACGGCTACGACTACAAACAAGTTACTGCTGCATCCTCCTGCAGTACAGTCGCGATGGCATGCTGGTTTTCTCTGAGGTGGCAAGGCTGGAGGTGAGGAGAACGAGTGCAGTCGGCGGGCTGTTCAAATAGTGGAAGGACCCGCCCTCTGACCAATGCGTGGCTCAAATCAGGCGAGGCAGCCAATCCAGAGTCACCACCTGCTCCTAATCCATTCACTCAAAAACCACACCCGCACACACACAGACTGAGGAGAGAAGGCAAGCAGCAAAAACACAAAAACACTATAGATGACCCACAGGGTCATAACAATGATTAGTAAAATGTGAGTTCATAGATGTATAGAAGTACAGTTCTGCAGCTGTTTAAACCATGATTTGATGCAGGACTGTTTTCATAATTTCACTACACAGTTATTGTGACAGAAAGAATGATGAATATTATTGTGATTTCTTTAATAACAGTTCATTTTTAGCATAATTATGGTGTGTTTGATCACTTTTTGATGAATGAATTACACTCAAATTATGAGCGTGGCGGTGGAGACAGTCTGTTACCATAACTGAATTATAATATATATGTATATAGATAACTAGATTGTTGACAGAAATTATCATATGTGTATTATTAACATAGTAGCAGTATACAGTCACAAACACACCAATACCACCTTGAAGCATGGTGGTGGCAGCATCATGATGTTGGAAAGCTTCTCAGCAGCATACCTGAAAGGCTTGTAAAGGTAGAGGGTAAAATGAATGCAGCAAAGTCTAGAGAAATCCTGGAGGATAAACTAATGCAGTCTGCAAGAGAACTGCGACTTGGAAGAAGAATTGTTTTCCATCAAGACAATGAGCCGAAGCAAACTGCCAAAGCTGCACAGAAATGGTTTAAAGAGGTGAATGTGGCGGAGCAGCAGAGTCAGAGCTCAGATCTCAATACAACTGAGAATTTGAAATCTGCTCACTCACAAGTCCAGTGCAACCTGACAGAGATTGAGCATTTTTGCAAAGACGAATGGGGTACAATTGCAGAATCCAGATGTTCAGACTGACTGAAACCTATCCACACAGGCTCACTGCTGAAGCCAAAGGTGCATCTATTAAATTCTGACTAGAAGGACATGAATACTTGTGCAATCACTTATTTTATCGGTGTCCTCACCGGGAGGAGAATCAGTGACCTTCTAGCTGCGAGGCAAAAAAAACACATGTTGACCAGGATTTGTGTGGAAAAGCAGTAAAAGGGGTAAAACCTCCACTGTATCACTGAAACACAGGGGACATTTATCATGTTTGTAATCCCTACTCTTCATGTCATCCTCTGCAGACATCCTGCTGAACTTTCGGACTACATTCGTGAGCACGTCTGGTCAGGTGGTGTACGACGCACGCTCCATCTGCGTGCACTACGTCACCACATGGCTCTTTGTCGACCTCATCGCCGCCCTGCCCTTCGACCTGCTGTACGCTTTCAACGTCAGCGTGGTGAGTCTCCTGTTGACATTTGTGTGTTTGCGCTGACAAAAACCGCAAACCAAACAGCGTGCGACAGCTTGATAAAGTGTGCGACGCATCAGGGAAGAGTAGACACTTGACTGTGGACATACACTCAGGCTTCCCTGCATTCATTTTCCACACTAACACGCCGAGGGCGATGAGCCAAATCTGGAGAAACGGGGGGAAATGAATGCATAATGTCATAAAGCAGCTCCCATGTGAATTTATTAGATCAACATTTCATCCAAACCGATGCTCATCAGACAAACAAATGGCAGCGAGCCAATCTGATGTTAGTGCATGTCTCATTAATTTGTGTTTGCATGCTCAGAATCCTAAAAGATGATGAACCCTGGAGTCTGTTTCCACACTTGTATGCAAAATAGGGCCTTTTTAAACGCTGCTTTGGACATACAAATTCGGGATTGCAGAGCCGATTATTAGTGCTCAAAAAGGCAGATATCTGAAGTTTGGAGGTAAGAAACATTGAATCTAATGTTTAAACAGCATGTGATAGCAGCAACCTTTCATTCATAGCTTCCTCATTAATAAGGGTGACAATAACTGAATATGTGAAATAGTAATCTGAGTGATTAAATGATCTCCTCTGTTTATGTAGGATCTCCTGAGATTGATCACTTTGTCTCCTGCAGTTCCATCTGCTGTTCTTCTCTATTTTATTAGTTTTTTACTGTTCTAGCACTTTCCCACTGAAAGGTCCAAATCTTAAAGCATTATTAGTTTTTGTTTTCCAGACTGTTTCAGGATAATCTGTGGCTGCCTTCTAACTTTCCTGCTAACTGTTAGCGTAGCCTTAGCCACTGTGAGAGGAGATAATTTCCTGGTTTGTGTTTCTGGTTTCTCTGCTCGAGACACATTTCGGAGACCACAGTATGAGGACAGACAGAGAGAGGAGGCTGCATCAGACCTGAAGTAGTTTAATTTATCGATGATCGGTCAATAAAAATACACATAGTCTTAAAAATACCAAATATTAGCCACGGTAATCAGCCAGTCATCATTGCCTTATCCGTATTATGAATGTTTTATGTCATGTGAAGCATAAATTAAAGATCCATCTTTTAAATAAAACTGCCAACCCACAAGTCATTATTATCATTCAGTAACTGACAGCATTGGCCGAATGGTTCCTCTATGTTTATCCTGAAGTTGAGTTCTTCTTTCACAGTACTTTGGAGTCCACCTGCTGAAGACGGTCCGGCTGCTGCGGTTGCTGCGGCTGCTGCAGAAGTTGGAGCGTTACTCGCAGTACAGTGCCGTGGTCCTCACCCTGCTCATGTCCATGTTCGCCCTGCTGGCCCACTGGATGGCCTGCGTCTGGTACTTCATCGGCCGTAAGGAGATCGAGAGCCCCGGCTCCTGGGACATCGGTTAGTGTGCTACTGTTTTTATTACCATCTATGCATAGTTCAGCAACTTAGATTTACTCTGAACTTTATGTTCCATGCAGCTGCATTTTTATTTATTTTTTTATTTTAACGTCCCAAAGCTCTACTTACATTTTAATTACTCACTTTATTTGCTGTTTTCCTTATTTGTAAGTTTATGGGGTTTCTCATGTTAACATTCAATTTTGTTTACCTTGCAAGTCATATTCCCAAAGCAGGAAATGTTGTTGTTTTTTTCTCACCGTGGGCTCATTTTTTTCCTGCAATATAAAGAGAGAACAGTTAGAAAGTAATAAATCATTAGTATTATTTAATATTATTCTCGGGCTGCAAGGTGGCTCTGTGGTTAGATGTTTCCCTATTTACAATTTTAAAACCTACAAACCTACCTTTGCCTATTAGCATACCTACAGACTTTATCACACTACTCTGCACAACTCCAGAAAGATGTCGTTGTTTTTGAGCAATGCTGCATTTACTTTATTGATCTCGTATATTTTATTCTCCTCTCTGAATTTAACTTTAGTAATTTGTAACTAGCAGATTTTTTACTACATTAGTTGTAAAATTACACTATTTATACTGTATTTAATCTGTAAAAATATTATTTTACATATTTTCACAAATGTTTGAAAGGACAATTTGGCATATTTGGGCTTACATAATTAATCTTATGTTATTATTTGTTTACTTTCAAAACAAATGAAAGGTAATATGAATTAAACTCACAGAAAAAAAGTACTAATTTACATGTTAGCTGTAAAAAAAAAAAATTTAAAGCCAGAAAAAACAGTACGTACTGCCCACATCACGTTTGTATTTTTAGAAATAGTAATTAGTTCTTTCACAATGTGTCACCAATCAATTTTACAGTTTACTGTATTAAAATCATATCTTACAGACACTGTTATTTTCATGGTTTTTACTGTTTCTTTTAACAGTAAAGTATTCCACTGTTCCACATCAGCTGCCAGTTTTCACAATTTTTGTTTTTTTTCTTTTACAGAATTATTTTTTGCAGTGCAACATAACTAAAATGTAACTTTAGCTTTAACGCAGAAGGACGACATTCAAATTTTTTCTGCTTTAATAAGACACAGTTTGTCTCGGTGGAGAATCTGAAGTCCTGCAGCGACATGAAGCTCTGCTGTACAATCTGATAAACTTGTAAAGACATGCAGACAGACAGGCAGTTTTCAAGGGCAAGAGAGCAAACTTTAATCCTTTTGACTGCCACCCGGGGCAAAGATCAAGTTTTGGGTGTCTCTCATTTTATCGTAAGCGTCACACAAACACACTCACGGACACGAGGATGCAGAAAATACTAGAAATAAGCATGTTTTGTAAGCGCAGGCTGTGGCTCTGGCACTCAGTGGATTGTAAGCTCCTGTCGTTGTTTTCTCTCTCTCATTGATCGTACCAGCCCACCTATCATTATCCTGTCAGCAAACCACATAATGACAGACAGTAACACTGCAGTCAGTTCATGTCAGCGGTTGACTATAGAGACAGATGGAGGGAATCCAGCGGATGACAAAGACCAGTTTGCAGTCTGACCTTTCTGTGACACCAGAAATTCAGAATAGAGGTCTGATATCAGCATGTACATACATCTGACTGTCTGTCAATCAATCAACTGCTGCTGCTGGTTCAGCGAGCTGCAGGTTTTTTCTTGTAGAATCATCAATAATTCAAAGGCGGTGGAGCATTGAGTATCCCTGCAGCCCCTCATCGAGCTGAAGTCACCAAACACACCAGCCACAGCTTCACCACATGGACAAAACAAATAATAATAACAGGAATCTATATTTATAGGGTGCTTTTCAAAATACAAGCTACAAAGAGCTTCACAAGGCAGCAAAATAAAACAGAAAAGTCATAAAATCATTCATTTTTAACCCCAAACCTTTAATTTGTCTAGAAAACAGCAACAGGATTAAATGAATTTCATGACATAATTATTGTGACAAAAAGAATTAACAATATTACCGTGATATCTGTAATATCAGTTAAATTCATCTTTATTGTGTCATTTGTCTCTTTTTGGCAAATGAGTTACACTCAAAGGTGGAGAGAGTTACCATAACTGAAAAATATGTTGTTCCTGTGTTGGAAATAACCAACAGTTATAACTGACAGATGTTATCATTATGTGTATTATTAACATGATACCAGTATTTCATCACAAACACATCATCCCTGCCATCATGATGTTTATATGCTTCTGGGCAACAGGCCCTGGTAGACTGGAGGTAGAGGGTAAAATAATAATAACAATACAGTAGTAATAATAATAATCCATCCATCCATTATCTATACACCACTTAATCCTTCGTCGTGGGGGGCTGGAGTCTATCCCAGCTGATTTAGGGTGAAGGACCCTGGACAGGTCACCAGTCTATCACAGAGCTACACTTAGAGACAGACAACCAAGCACACTCACATTCACACCTACGGACAATTTAGAATCACCAATTAACCTCAACATGTTTTTGGACTGTGTGGGAGGAAGCCGGAGAACCCGGAGAGAACCCACGCTGCACGGGGAGAACATGCAAACTCCACACAGAAAGATCCACCGGGACGCGAACCGGCGACCTTCTTGCTGCGAGGCAACAGTGCTGACCAACTGCGCCACCTTGCAGCCCATAATAATAATCATAATTGTTATTTATAGAGCACTTATCAAAATCTAAGTTCCAAAGAGCTTCACGAGGCAGCAAAATAAAACAAAAGAGTCATAAAATCTTCAGTTTTTAACCCTAAATTATAGATTTTCCTACAAAACAGCAAAGTGATTGTTTTGTTTAAGATAATCTCACTTTGACAGCTGTGTATTATTGCATAACGCAACACTGTATGAAAAGGAAACAAAAGTTTGCATATCAAAGTGTAAAACAGTCGAGTTAAACTGGAAACTCCAAGCAATTTGTGGGTGCTTTTTTTTCACCATGTCTTCTAACAACTTGCTCCTCTAGAAACTGTTTAGAGCCGTACTGCATTGATTTTATAGATCCAATATGTTTCATTTTCTTCTCAGTCTCTCTCTTTTGTCGTCTCCTCTCTGCTTCTCTGTGGAAACACTGCCTGCAATTCACTCGAAAACGCTCAGTCATGATGTCTCCGCTGCACTTCAAGTAGTGTCTTGACTGCGTATTTTCAGACTGTAGTAGTGCTACTTTTGTCTAAATCATAAATGTGCACACATTTCCACCACTGTACGCAGCTACACCTCTAAGGTGAGCTAACAGCAAACCTCTGTAGGAGCTGCACTTCATTCACTCCACCCAAGTGTCCTGATAATTTATCGTGCACAGACACTAAGATACCTGAAATATACAAATCCACCTCAAACTAAATATCTTAGACTAAAAAGTAAATGGAATGAAGCCATCTAATCTTGATTTAAAGATACACATGATGCCCGTGATCTGATGCTAAGGTTCTGTGTGACACAAACAAAGGATTTATTCAAATATTTGAAATAACATCACAGCAATTGAACCTCAGAGGAAGGAAGGAATAAAAGATTATTAATATTTTTTTAATGTATTTAAAAAAAAAAAAAACAGGGATTAAGGAAGGAAGAAGGAGAACGTGCGGAAAGTTTTGAAAAACAGGATGAGTGAGCTGAGCTTCTGACAGCAGTAAGACGAGGAACATGAATAATACAGTGAGGATCCGTCTGCTTATTGATCTCCGGCATCACAAACTGCAGGCTGGAAGCTCTGACCTTGTGTTTGTGTTGGTTTCTCAGGCTGCCGGCAAAACTAAGCAGAAGTGACAGTCGAGCTGCGAGTCCCAGTAAAGCAGCAACTGCATTAAAGGATTTAACACCTGAGTAGTTTCCTAATTACTCTGTCATTAGTGCAACTTAACCTGGGTAACTTGAGGAAACGTGGGTCTGAGTGAAGCGCTGTTCTGCATGCAGGACAGAACGTGGCGTCCGTGTCACTGTAGAACCTCGCTGTGATAGAGTCTCTGCACAGTCGCTGAGTTTCTCTGTTTTCAGTTTGAGGTTTGGTGGTGAAGCAGCTCCAGACAGACTCTGTCCTCGGTGCTGACTCGTGTTCTCGGGCTCACAGAACTGTCCGTGGTCCTGAACTCCCGTCTTCACTCTTGTCCACAACTTCCTGAGCTGCAGTCTCACTTAGACAGAATGTTCTGCAGAACTAAAAGCTCTGTGTCATTCTGCTAAAGGGGGAAAAGAACACTCTGACTTTTTTTTTTTTTTTTTTTTAAATCAATCGTGGTTGTGAATGAAGGATGAAGCTTCTGTGTTTCCTCAAAATAGTGACGGATGGAATTGTTCTGGTGGAACATTTGCCTAAAATGTGATTTCAGTGGATAATCTTGATCTATAATTTAACTTTTTTCATCACGTATAGTTGAAAGAAGCCCTTGTCCTGTTTTGTCATGTTTGTTTTAACATTTTCAGTATTTTTAAGTTAAGTTTGATTAAATCGAACTTTACTGTCAATGCAGTAAGAAGGCAATGTGATGCATAAATTGATTTGAATTGATTTTACAAGTTTTTATACTTGTTTTTTTTACTAGGTTTCATTTATTTTATTTTGTTTTTCAAATTATTTTACATGTTTGACTCCTGCTTTGATTTGTTTTTAATGTCATATGTTTATTTGATTAAATTCAACTGTAGTGCCAGTACTAGAACAATGAAACATATGATTTGGTGTGAATTGATTTTACAGGTTTTCTTTCTATTTTCTGTTTTTCTTTTTTGCCCATTTTTATTGCTGCCCATCTTTTAACATGGACAGAACTTTGATCAATTCAAGTGTTTTAAAATGTGGTCGATTTGATTTGATTTTTCTTGGTTAAATAAATTAAGCTTCCCTCTCTGTCTTGGTCTCAGGTTGGCTCCACGAACTCGCCAAACGTCTGGGGACTCCGTACTTTCTGTCTCCACTCTCAACACTGGTTCCCTCGTCGGTCAGCAGCCTCCCGACCAACGCCAACCAGTGGAACAGCTCGGAGGCTGCAGGACAGGGAAGCTGGAACTCCAGCCAGTTCTACGGGAATGTGTCCGGGGCCGGAGGAGGTGGAGGAGGAAGTCTGGGGGTTCTGGGCGGCGGTCCGTCGATGCGCAGCAGCTACGTGACCTCGCTGTACTTCGCTCTGAGCAGCCTGACCAGCGTCGGGTTTGGAAACGTGTCAGCCAACACGGACTCAGAGAAGATCTTCTCCATCTGCACGATGCTCATCGGAGGTAAGAAAAGATGCTTCGCTCTGTGAGGATGCTGGCGTGAAGCTCTGCTCTCAGCTCTGCACATTCAGTTCTGTCGTTTTTTTGTTTTTTTTTTAATTGCTCCTTTTTTTTCTGGTGAAGAACAATAGATGAACAAACTCTCACTTCCTTGATTGAGGGGTTTCATTACATGTTTGGCTGTTTGTTTATATATTAAAAGCTACCGAACATATTCACATAAAAGATTGTTTAAAGTTCAGTTATGAGACAAATGTTTCGGTGCAGAACAGGTCATTTTGCCTTCAAACATAACAGAATTAACATCCATTTGGAAAAAATACAGATTTTTTTATGAGGACGTATTTACAATTTGGGCTTTTTTCTCGGCTAACATCCATCCATCCATTATCTACCCTCCATTTGTTCCTCACTAAGGTTGCGGGGGGCGAGAGTCTATCCCAGCCGACTCAGGGCGAAGGCAGGGTGAGATTTTAGTAGACATTATCTGTAATTTAACAAAACAGGGAAAAACTGTGAAATAAACACTTTCTGAATAAGAACGAAATGTCCTCAGATCTGTCGCTGATAAACTAGCTCAGTTCTGCAACCTCTAAATTCCAATTTAGAGGTCAACCTGATCAAAAGCTGCACCAGGTGTTCTTAAAAGATCATATTTCAAACTAATAAGCACAGTCTCGGTGCTGCGGCCCTCACATTTTTCATAAATTCTGCTTCGTTTCAAGAATTTGACATGTTGCAGGGACACAGTCTTCTAATGCAGGTTTGATAAAAAATTATTTTTTAAAAAATTATTCTGCAGTTTTTGATGAGTTCTTGCACACAGACAGCCTTTAGAAATAAATAAAGATCCTTGCTTTCCAAAAACATTTCACTGTTTTATTAAACTCTGATTATTACATTCTCCAGATTACAACATTGTGATGGCAAAAATCCTTCCCGCTGGTGGCTTCATTCAGTTTACAAAATTTTAAAGTTTTAGAACAGTTTTGCTTTGTAGCATACAACTGAACAATCTTCATCATCTGCTGAAGATGATGAACGTGGCCTTGATGGCTGGTTTGTCACTGAAGCTACAGTCATTGAGGACAACAACAAAATAAAACCTGATTCTTATCTTTAAACACACGAATATCGTACACAGCAAACATTTGAATGCAGAGATGAAGCTCGCAGGCTGCAGATTACTTACAAGCCATCTTTCAAGACCACTTTTACTTCAGTTTACTCTCTGGTGTGTTTATGCAGATGTACTTTTCATAATTACCCTCATCAATTTCTGCTATTCCTAATGAACCAGAGTGATGGCATGTGATCCTGTTGAATAACAATGGCTTGTTTAGATGGAGACTCTTTTTGCTGTACAGAAGTATAAAAGCTGCCTCGGATACTCGCTGTGCCGGAGCTCTGCTTTCTGATGCAGCTGTAATGAAGAGAACTGAATGTTCAGGAAGAAAGCAATAAATGACGAGATGAGACAGAAATGGAGGCGCTGCAAAAAGGTTATTGCGTGAGGAAAAAATGTGGAGATTTATGGTGAAAGGACGCAGTGATGCGCAGCGACGTCTCAGGCCTCAGTGGACACAAACTGAACCATTACACCTGTGAGGACGCTGTATGAACTCACGTCTTTCTCTGAAGTCTTACCTAGCCCCACGCTGCCTTGTAGACTCCAAACAGTTTCTGGGTGTTTCTGGCTGCTGTTGCATTTTTCTTCACTTTGGCCTCGTTCTTTGCTGTGTCATCAAGTCCTGCACCAACACAAATCTGAACGGTGGATAAAACCAGTTTTAAAACTCTTGTTTCACTTTGTTGACATATTAGTCAAAGGTTTTTACAGAAGGAATTTAGGATATCCTTTTATCGCTCCATTAAAACACTGTCAACAGCCAGGAATAATCTTTTTTTTCTTGTTTATACAAATACAGTGTTCTATAAATCAGGCTGTGAATGATGTATGAACAAACCTGTTTCAGAATAAAGACAAGAATAAAACAATTTATTTATTACGATTTCTAGCGTAGAGTAGGAGAGAGAAAATGGTGTACAAAATTCAGTACATTTTTACTGAAAACCAGTACTAACAGGTAAAAACTTAAACTAACGGACATCACCATGTAACTTCCCCAGTTAGTGACAGTTTCTTTGCTCCTGTCACTTTTTTCTTCACTGTGGCTCATTTTTCACTCCAACATAAAGTCCTGCACCTCAGTGGAAACAGAACAACCATGTTGTTGTAAGTACGACACAGTTAGAATGTCACAAATAATCAAGATTGTCCCGGTTTTTCACAAAATTACAGATAAACACTAGTGAAGGCCAAACAAAAAGGTAATTTACGTGTTAGGGAAACAAACAGGCCAAAACTGTATATATAATAATGTCCTTATAAAAAAAAATCTGCGTTTTTATGAATCTTAGTTTGTTCTTCTCCAACATTTGCCTGCCAACTTATACTATTTTTATTGTATTTAAATCAGCAAAAAAAAAGAAGTTATTTTACAGATTTTATCAGTTTTATCAAATTACAGATAATTTCTTGTAAAACTGCAGAAAAGATGAAAAAATAATGGCTCTAGATCCATCCACCCATCCATCCATTATCTATACATCACTTAATCATCACTAGGGTCACAGGGGGCTGGACTCTATCCCACTGTTCCACTGTGCAGCCCTGTGGCTCCACATACTAACAATATTTTATTATTACCATTTTTAATTCATTTCCATACCAGTCATCTCTCTGCTGTGTGTAAACAAGACCTGCAGCTCAGGCAAAAAGTCTCTACATTTTTGTCACATGACTGTTGGTTTCAAGCAAACCATTTATTTTTGGTAAAGAATAAAAAAAAAGAATAAAGAGATTTTAATGGCATATCATGATTTTAAGCTTAGACCTGCTAAATTTTTCAAACTGAATTGCAAACCACGTATGATTTGTTGACCGACTATCTGAAAGTTTTTTTAAAAGTTGATTTGTTTCAGTTTTTAGAGTTTCCAGCTCTGATAATTGGTGTAATTCTGGTGATTTCTTTAAAGAGAGCATGCTTTTCATAGCTGCCAGCAAGTTTTGAGGTTTAGAGAGTTAGATTCACCTGTAAAATCTAATACAACAACTCAGCCATACACTCCGCTTCAAGAAGCTTCTGCATTTTCAGGGTTTTTTTCATGTTTTTTTATAAAGATAAGAATTCTACTTCTAGTTTATTATTGAGATCAAAGTGGTCCTTCCTAAAATCACTCTCTGGTTGTTGATTAAACCCCTAAAATCTCATCTCTGAGCATCAAAGTTCCACATTTAGAGTTTTCTTTTTAAAGGCACATAACTCAGCCATACATGTTTGAACCACAAACTGAGTCTGAAGAATAAAAATACAGAAAGTTCTGCCTGCAAGCTGATGGGATTGTTTTTAAGTTTGTTGAAACCCAACAAAAACGGTAACATAAGGTATAGCAACAGATCTATACTGACTCACAAGTGGAGTAGTTTTCAACAAATACACTCTTAAGGGTTGCTTCAGAAAACTGTTTTTAAAATACATATAGCTGCATGTTTTGACCCATTTGTGCAGATTTACTGCTTTATTGGAAACAAATGAGTCAACAGAGTAGAAAGTTAGAAAGTACTGAGACAGAATAACAGATTACTGGTTTAGTGTTTTATTGCAAGTAAGAAAAACATTCACTCAACGTCATTCTTATCCTAATTAAATTAGTTGTTTGCTGTGCGTGTTTTTTCCTCTGTAATAATAAGTGGGTTTCTCTATTAGAGGGGGAAGCTGGAGAGCAAGAGGAGCCCACAGCTTCAATAGTCTCTCTGAATTTCATCCTCAGACTCAGTTTATTGTTCTCCAGCAGTGAGCTGCTGTCCAGAAGCAGCGTGTGCTGTAACCGAGAGATATTTGAATGTCTTCGAAGCAGAGTTTTCCTAAATGAAAGGCCGGTCGTGCTTAAATAAAGCCATTAGTCTGTAAAAGTGTCCTGTGGTCAAAGTGCTGGTTCAGCAGCTACAGTCAGGGAGACAAACCGCTGTGCAGGACTCTCAGGGACGTATATTATAAAATAGATCAGTTAATTCCTCCCGGGTGGCTGCCGGTTAGTGGAGTTCACATTCAGAGCAAACCTGTGACTGCTGAGTAAATATTAACTCCACACCAGCAGTCACTGCTCACACTGGGATTAGAGCTGTTGTGGGGTTTGGAATAATAATGTAGTTGTTCTTATGAGTGTTTTGTTCACTAGAAATAAAAGATTTATTCGACATTGTGCTGCTGACAGTCAGTGAAAGCAGTAATCCACTTGCAGCAGAGCCTCACAGTGGTTTTAGAGCAGCTAAGTCGTCTAAAGCCTCGTGCTTTTTAACTTGGTGGGGCTTACAGTATAAAGACTTCCTGTAAGGCTTCCTGCTGTGCTGAAGCATTATGGGATTTTCCTGAAGGCCCCTCCAGATAGGAGCCAATCAAACAGCTGTAATTAAATGTGTATCACAGCTCTGCTCTGTCTGCAGCGCTGATGCACGCCGTGGTGTTCGGTAACGTCACCGCCATCATCCAGAGGATGTACTCACGCCGCTCGCTGTATCACACCCGAACCAAGGACCTGAAGGACTTCATCAGGGTCCACCGGCTGCCCAAAGCCCTCGAGCAACGCATGCTGGAGTGTTTCCAGACCACCTGGTCGGTCAACAATGGGATCGACGTCAGTGAGGTGAGGAGGCAGCAGATTCAGTTTAGATACTTTATTGTTCGCTGCATTATTCATACTTTCTACATACATAGTATATGTAACAATCAGCCACGTACTCGTATGCAAACAGTATGTACACACATTCAAGTACTGTTAGCAACAGTATATTGTAGTCAACCCTCACGATGTTGACAACAATGTTTCCTCACTGTGGGCTCATTTTTCACAGCAACATAAAACCTTGCGTCTTGATAGAAACAATAAAACCATGGTTAGAAGTAGAGAAAACACAGAAATGTCTTTTGTGCTTTATGAAACAGTTAGAATGCCATAAATCACAAAAAAATGACAAGAACAAGTAGAATTTCTTAGATTTTTTGATTTACATAAATTGCAAAAATGTTCAACATTTTTAGAAATGCCCACAAGTGTTACCAGTACTGGAATAAATAGTGACTCCATTTGACTATTTACAATTTACTACCGCTACAAACTTTTCACACGACTCTGCACACCAACTGGATACAGATGTTTCACCATGCAGAATGTATCTCCCAACAACTTGCTCCTCTCTTCACTGTTTTTGAGTCGTGCTGCATTTGCTTGATTGATTCAGTATGTTTGATTCTGATTTGTTTTCATACTTGACTCCTCTCTGCTGTGTAAACACTGCCTACAGTTCAGCCGAGAACTTTCAGCATTTTCTGTATTTAAACACACTAGCCAGAAGAATAACTGGGTTTTTTTTGTTTGTTTCTATTTTATTAAATAGTGGTTACCAGACTTTATTCCGTCATGCCCCTTCTGTGAAGTTTTTTTGTTTGTTTGTTTGTTTGTTTTGGAATAATGCATATTTATTGTCGTGGCAGTTATTATTATTCTGTGTTCACCAGATTCACAGGCGTTACTAAAAGCATCAAATGTGACTCGTTCCAGCATTTATTAAGATTATTAGTTATACCTGGGTTTGGACAGGACATAAATTTAGTTTTCTGCTTTACATTTTCCCACCTAGTTTGGAAATTTTTCCTGTAATTAGAAACTGAAGTGAAGTTTGTGTAAAGTTTTTTTGTGTAGCAAAGCCTCAAAGCCTCCTTCACACCTCCACAGCTCCTGAAGGACTTCCCAGACGAGCTGAGGGCTGACATCGCCATGCACCTGAACAAGGAGCTGCTGCAGCTGCCTCTGTTCGAGTCGGCCAGCCGGGGCTGCCTGCGCTCCCTCAGCCTCATCATCAAGACCTCCTTCTGCGCTCCGGGAGAGTTCCTCATCCGTCAGGGAGACGCTCTGCAGGCCATCTACTTCGTCTGCTCGGGCTCCATGGAGGTCCTGAAAGACAACACTGTGCTGGCTATCCTGGGTAAGTCAGTCTAAAAGGGACGTCTTTTGTCTTTGGCCAACCCTGGTATGTTTGCTGTGATCTTGCTGAATGTGTGCTGCCCCTATGAGGTAAGAAATGAGTCTTAGTAGGAACACAAGCTGCTATTTTTTAAAGATTGTATCTTATTTAATGTAAATACGGTGTATATAAAAAGAATTTCCAACACTTGTAAATAAAAAGGGCTTCCAGGGCCTGCTGCCAAGAAGTGCCCCCACGTGATGATGCTGCCACCACCATGCTTGTTTGTAGTCCAACAAACATAATATCTAGTTTAATGGCCAAAAAGGTCAATTCTGGTCAAATAAGATCAAAGAACCTTCTTCCAGTTGACTTCAGAGTCTCCCACATGCCTTCTGGTGAACTCTATTCCAGATTTGATATGAGCTTTTTTCAACAGTGTCTTTCTCTTGATCACTCTACCATAAAACTATGACTAGTGAAGAACAGGCAGCAGTGGCTGTATGAACAGTTTCTCCCATCTCAGCTGCTGAAGCTTGTAACTCCTTCAGAGGAGTCTTGGGTGTCTTGGTGGCCTCCATCACTCAGTCTTTGAAGACGACCTGCTCCAGGCAGATTTACACATTTGGCATATTCCTTCCTTTTCTTAATGAGGGATTTAAATGTCCCCCAAGAGATATTCAGTGATTTGGAAATTTTCTTCCACCCATCCCCTGACTTATTCTTTTCAATATCCTTTTCACAGAGTTGCTTTGAGTAGATTTGTGTGTGTGTGTGTGTGTGTGTGTGTGTCTTCATGGTGTAGTTATACCCAGGAGTACTGATTGAACAGTGACTGGACCTTCCACATACAGGTGTCTTTATACTGCAGAGACACATTTTTAGATGATCTCCATTTTATTAATTGTGTGACTTCCTGCATCAAGAGGGTCAATGCTTGTGTATTAAAGATAACTTTATTGATCCCACAGTGGGGAAAGTTCACTGTTACAACAGCTCCAAAAAAAGTGTAGAGTCAGTGCAAGAATAGTTGGGAACACCCAGTGCAAAAAGTAGGAAAGAAACAGAAACAGAAAACACATAGTGCAAAAATTGCAAGAGAAGAAAACATTATATACAGAAGGTGTTTTTTTTTTTGTTTTGTATTGTTTTTGTTTTGTTTGTTTTTTTTAAAGAAGACTATATACACAAGGATGAGGTAGTCATGGTTATTGTACATAATGGAATGTGTTTGTTGGTGGAAAAAAAGAAAAAATGCAGCAGTAACAGAGGTACCAGTGGAGTCTATAGTGCAGCGTTGTAAAGTCTGACTGTTGTTGGGATGAAGGACCTGCGGAAACGTTCCTTCTTGCGCTTTGGATGAAGCAGTCTGTCGCTGAAGAGTTTCCAAAGGGAGTAAATACTTTTTATAGTGACAGTTGTAGTTAGTAGGAAAACGATATACTACGACATGTAAAAATATACATATGTTATATGTAATAATATATCTGAACCTACAGTGTGGAACTCTTGTCTCCCACATCTGGCAGTGAAGTAGTCACACAAACACTGTCAATGAATGTTTATGACATAGTCCTTGTGGTCAAGCACCTTCCCATGTGAAATTTTTGTGTTCTATAAAGGACAAGAAAGTTCTGCAAAGTTCTCTCTTGTTTTCAGCTGGCAAGTATTTCTGTCCTTCCCAGAATGATCTTCTGAATGTTTGAATAACTGAAGGAATTCTGAAAATGTTTGTTGTCTCTGAATCTGTGTTTCTGAGGCTGTCATCAGCACACTTTCAAGGTGTAAATACTCAGCCATGAAGTTTGCTAATTACTATACTCATGATGTCTCTTCCAGGATATAAAAAGACAAGATAAAAAAAACAAAAATTCCACTGGATGGGCGCTTTAAGTACTGTGGAGGGTCTTCTCAGCCAAACAATAATCTCTCCAGTAACATACGCAAATGTTTTTCCATCAATATTCAAGTAATCTTCCTATTTGTTTACCTAAATTAGCAGAAAGTGCAACAAAGTCTATTTTCAAATTAAAGGAAAAACAGTAGTGAAATCCTTTAGACTGAGCACAGTTTGATTTGTTGACTGTCATATTGCAAAATTACATGCTGGTTACCTAATTAGACTTAAATACAGTAAGGATGCTCCATTGTTTGAAGGAAATTATGCGTAAATTTGCGATAGAGAGTGGAATGAAAGCTACATTGTGCCCCCTCGGCTCTGACAATTAGCTGTCAAACTGAGACTTGGAGGATGTGAGATAATGGAGATCCACAGGACTCCATGTTGCATCGCTAATGAAGGTGATAGTCGCTAATTTGAAGAAGATGCAGCTGCGTGTCTGTGTGTGTGTGTTTGATATCAAATGCTGGTAATGAAGTACAGACTTCAGAAGGAAAAAGAAAGAGATCATCTCTCAGCTCAGTGATTACAGTTCAGATAATTTCACAATGGTTTCATCCAATCAGACCTGCAGAGCAACTTGATCTGGATTCTGATGGAAATTAGGTTGATGAGCGAGATGAAGGAGAGGAGAAGGAACCGGGCAAACTCTTAAAAGTAAAGGTTTTAACTGCAATTTTTCAAATAATTGACTCTTATTTTACAAAATTTACTTGTAAACTGGTAAAATTACCAAAAAAGCAAAAATGTACATAGAAATTTTAAAAAAACAAAAAAACAACGCAAAGCTTTACATAAACCAATATTTTTAGAAATAGCTATTTGTTCTTTTTACATTTTGTGACCATAAAATTGGACTATTTGACTGTATTTAAATCAGCGAACAACATTGTAGATGTTTGCAGTTATTTTCACAGTTTGTATACCTTGCTGCCAGATTGGACAGTTTTTCTGTACAGAATTAGGTTTACAGTGCAGCACAGACGTGTGTGGTTCAGTGAAACAACAGGAAGGCAGGTCTGAAAACACGCTGATAAAGAGCAGCTATTTAAAGAGTTATCTTCACGTTTGAGTCCAGCAGACAGAGTCAGGATGCCCGCTGTGTCGCCTTTCAGCTCTATAGAAACGTCCTCCTGTCCATTGTGAGTGCAGAAGTAGGAAGTCCTGCTATCAGACCTCACATATGGCAGAGTGTAGACGCCAAAAAAAAAAACAGATGAATGGATGAACTGGGATGTTTGCAGGCGCCTGGACGCTGCTGTTTCTTGTTTGTTGCTGCAGATAGAATGAATAATGTAAGAGGAGGCTGTAGAGCTTCACTCCTCAGGCTTCATATAGTTTCTGCACATCACATGGCAGCCTGAGGTGGAAGAAGGATTCAAATCCCTGGAAGTATCACAGTTTTACATTCTGCATTCAATATCCCACTTAAGGGGAGACACAACAGGTGCATAGCATAAATATTAACCATGAAACTTCTCCAGCTGATTACTTTTGTATTAAAAGTTTGCGAAAAGTTCTAAATATGAGCTCGTTTGCAGAACAGAAATCTGAACTTTGGATAAAATCAACTTTAAAGTTCTTGTTTCACTTTGTTGACATACTGGAATCAAAGTTTTTTTGTTTCTTTTTTGACAGAGGGGGTTTTGGATATATCCTTTATCGCTCTATAAATTGGAAAATACTGTCAGCAGCCAGAGAAAAATCTACTTTTGACAAATAACAAATCCTATAAGTCAGACTGTGAATGATGTATGAACAAACCTCTCTGTGGAAACCTTCAGGATTACAGATGGAAATATAACTGCAAAGTTTAGTAAATGTAAGAGCTGCTAAAATGGAAATTTCTGGATATGTATTTTAAAATTCCATACATTTACTTTTATAGAAATCACAACAACAGATATCATCATGAAACGTCCTGAAACCCAGCTGATTACTTCGATTGATCCTCATGTTGTGTTCCAGCCAAATTTGACCAATTTAATAGTTTTATCTCTGACTGACCTAAGATTCTATAACTTTGTCCACAAAGAGGATTTTGGCACAGAAAATAAATGATATTAATTTGCATACAGTTTTTTGTGTTTTATTCAACTTTTGTACACTCTTGGTGTTACCAGTCAAAAATGACCGGTCGTTAGAAATGAATGGGGAAGACTACGCTTTGAGTAAAAAACTGAGCTCAGGTACATCCTCATTTGCCAGATGGACCCACACACACACACGCACACGCACACACACACACACACACACACACACACACACACTTTGGGTTCCCTGGCAGCCACTACAAGAACCTTTACCCAGTAGAGTCTCTCACCCAAAGGAACAACACCTGCTGGCAGGTCTCACACAAAACTGCAACATAGTTTCAATAATATTAATATAAACTTTTTCCATAGCTTTGGTATAAGGTTTGGTGTAGGTCTTTTTTAAACACATCTGATACCTGATATCTTATCTATACACTGCTTCACTAGGGTCGTGGGGGGCTGGAGTCTGTCCCAGCTGACTCAGGGTGAAGGCAGGGGACACCCTGGACAGGTCACCA